TGTTTGAATAGTTCTATGAAACAAGCATGAATAACGCTGTTTATTTTTATTACCTCGCTTTTTGGACAGAGTTTGGCTCGACCCTCGAATCCACGTTCTATGAGCTATCCAATTCCACATTTTCGACACGTGAGCTTAAATAAATTGGACTTAAAATTTTCAACTCACCTGGAAGCCACCGTCTGTCGGTTTGGGCTGATGATTTCACTGAAAGATGATTAAGTTGACGATAGACATCGAATGTTTTATAAACTCACCCCCATTTAATTTCGGTTATCACGTTCTCGAGAGGTTCACATGATATGAAGCTGTCCCTTCTGGAAACTGAATGATTTGTAAATTTGGACACTGCCGTGGGAGGGAAAGGGATTTAATGAACTGTATATGTGCACATAGATTTCTTTCCCTCTCATGGCTGTGTCCGAATTGCCCCCACCTAACACACTTATAAATTCGCTGGATAGACTCACATTCTCGTTGACACATACGGCTTAGGCATTCTGTAAAAAGGACCAATAATTAATGAAATGTTCTACTTACGAATGATTTGGGTTAGGCACTTGCAAAGTGCTCAACAGCCTTCTTGGCGGACACACGTATGTCAAGGATTTTGAGTAAACAGGCTTGCTTTGCTTGCAGGCTGCGATGTCCATTTCGAAATCGGATAAACGTACCGGTTCTCTTGAACAAACTTAATATAAAGAAAAGAAAGTTACATATTCCGCTTATGCACCTGACTCATTGATGCCGTCGCATCTGAAGAACCACCTTCCTCTTTGGTTTTCAATGACTCTTCATTTTGAAAACCTTTGTCCAGGTTATCTTGATTGCGAATAAGACTAGCAAATTAAAAACATTTACCTGTTCGCCGGAGGACGCTGATTGCGAATACGTGGGAGGTAGGTGGCATTTCTTCTCCCGTATGAAGCATTTTCCACAAGGTCCTTGTGGAAAGAATCCAACACTTTGGCCAACGAACTTCGGTGGGTCCAACAAACCAATTTCGATGGACCGTGTCAATTGATCCATCGTCAAACTCAAGAACAGAGTACATCTGAAAGTAGTTATACGCCAGTGATTGATAGTCAATGCTCAATGGTGTCGTTAACGGTGAGATACAGAATGAGAACTAAAGAAATGTAATTAAGATATATTTGATATAAAAGAAATTCATAAATGTTTAATTCCTTGTGCTTCTTCTTTTTCGCATCAAACCGTTTTTCCGAAAAATTTTCCGTACTCTGTGCAGTGAAGTTATGATTATGGAGATATCATACCTGCATGATGACCATTTTGGCCTAGCAGAAAGGAGCAACCATCCCTGTCACAGCTATCTGTAAGAAGTTGGATGCGGCCAAAATAACATGGAACATTACCTTCGAATAGACCATGTGTGCTACAAAGGGTCGAACACTAACCCGTTCTTGTGTGGAAGAGCTACACAATTGCACTATACTTTGTCTTTTGATATCTAGGGACAATATTGTGTGCATGCAAATATGCACAAGTCCATCAACAAATTACATCTCTCAAACAACGGATCGTTCCGCGCATATTGTTGAATGTGTAAAAAACCTGACTTGACATCAAAAATCAGTGCAGCTTTACCATGAAAAATGATGGCGTTAATCGGTCTCCCTTTTGTGAGAACAAAGTTTCTCACATGCAACTGCCTAACAGTAGCCAAGCGACCCGTAAGTGGACACAAAGTGTCATCAATTTGGCCACTGATAGCGAATGTTAGCGCCATGCTACTTTCCGTAATTCTGCGGAATATCTGTTCCGCAGGCGTTCGGGGATATCCAAACATCCTCCGCAGCCCACTCATGTACGACTCGAAAGGAAATGCTGAATAGTTATCCAGGGCGCCTCTGAGTGGTACATCGTCCGGAAGATGAACTAAGCAGTGTGTGCTGTACACATACTATGTAGCTATGTAGCGCATGAGTTGTGTTGATACCGGGCGGTCTGTGCAGTTTCAGGACCCGAAGCGTTTGAAAGCTCTGTTTACACGTTTGGATGTTAACAAAGATGGAAAAATATGTAGCTTCGATATCATGCGAGTGCTGGAGGAATTACACGGGGCGAACAAGCCACATATGTCCGGAATAGCCGAGAGCTTTTTAATGCGGTGCGGAGGCGCGAGCAGTGGTTACGTTACGTTCCCGGAGTTCGTAGATTATGTGTTAGAACATGACAAGCGTATAATTACTGCCTTCGACGTACTGGACCAAAGCAAGAGTAGTCGTTTAACGGCAGATGACATCCGCGAAACTTTCAAACAGTTTGGAATGCCAGTTACTGCAGACGAAGCTGAACGCCTTTTGAAACGCGTAGACCA